ATAGATAGCATCATTTAATGCAGTATTTGGGAAATAACCCCTTCAAGTTTTCATCTTCATTTGTGCTGATTGAAGAAATGCTGGAGCTAACTTAACATGGAACTATTTGATTGAGTGAATAATGTATTGAGTAAATAACAAAACACCTTTCTACTTACTGTCTGGTAAGAGGTAACTCATGTGAATTCCATTTAAAAACACAGTATGAGCAAATTTGATCTAGAGTTTAGAGAATTGTCTATAATTTCTGAAACCTTTGGTTTTTCAGAATAAAAGGCTATTGTGTAGGCTATCGTGTAGGGGATTGATAGGAAATTCAACATGAGGGGATAATGCCTCTGCCTGAGAACTTTTTTTTTTTTTTTTTTTAAGAGAGGGAGGGAGAGAGAGAGAGAGAAAAGGTCCATGTCCAGCACAGAGCCCGACATGGGGGTCCATGAGATCATGACCTGAGCTGAAATCAAGAGCCACATGCTCAACCAACTGAGCCACAGAGGTGCCCCTCTGCCTGGGCACTTTTTAGGGAGAATCAAGCAAGCCACACTTTAAGAGTGTCGCTTGGTAGATCTTATTCTAAAAGAAATGAGTCCTAGGCCAATTCACTTCTTGTGAACTTCATAAGAAGAAAGACTATATGGGATATTCAAGGAAAGAATGAGCACCACATGTGGACACTCTAAAACTGACAGGTGAATCCGCTCTCTGGGTGCTATCTAGGCTGCTGGCAAACAACAGGCATAATATAAAGCCCAGAGAATGTTGTTGTTAGCAGAAGAACAAGATAAGTCATGGACACAGTTCAGATAAGCTGGCTATTGATCAAGATGAACTAAAAGACAAAATGAGTTAACAACACAATTAGATGAAGGTGAGCAACTCTACACAATTTATTTTTAATGACCTTTAAGTAATATGAATTCATTACCATCATAAAATTTAATACTGAAATGCTTAAAGAAGAAAATGAAAATAATAATACCACCACCAAGAGTAACTGTTAATATTTTGGTTTGTTTCTTTCAAGTCTTTTACATGAATGAATGTTTTCTTTTCCAACACTATTTACTGTACATCTCTATACAATATGCAGATAACACTGCAGTAGACAACTTTATACATAAATCTTGGTTGACTATAATTTCCTTAGATTAGAGTCTCTAGAAAAAGAATTATTGAGTCAAAGGATATGAATTTTCAGGTCTTAGTACATATTGCTAAATTGATTTCCAGAAAGGTCACTCAAATTTATGCATAAACTACTCATTTCCTTCAATGCATCTTTTTACCTGCTGTGGATCCTTTCATTTTCCACCTGAAATTAAGTAAACTCCTAAACTTGACCCAACATTTTTGTAATAGAAATGAAAAATAATTCCAGGTTTATTGAGAGAATTACTTTGTGATATTGTGGTAACTTACATGGAGATAATTCTCAAGTTGTAAAAAAAAAAAAACTTTTATACTCATTATTACATTTAGTTCCCACAAAACCCCATGAGATGAAGAGAATTCATTGTAGAATGTTTCAAGCATGGGAGAGGATTTCAGGCATCATCTTGTTCAGATTGTATGAATGTTTCCATGTGACAGAGGCAAAGGGAGAATATGAGTCTTAAAGTTCTAGAGCCCAAGTGGCTATAATCTCAGTTCATATATTACTTCCTACTGGATGACCTTGACTCTATACTGGCTCCTGTAAGCCTTCCAACTTCCTCCCCTCCTGTACTTTTTTATCAGTCCATTGGAAGTATACCACTCAGTCTTTCCCTATATTAAGGGATTTGTGAATAACTGGAAATCTAGACACAGATTCCTAAGCAGAGACAGAGCAATTTGGAAACAAGCATTTTATCTGTGATGTGTATGATGACTTAGAAAAGAAGCATATGGATGAAAATGAGCCAGTGGAGTTGAGGTAATCAGGTCTGAACTTGGAGTGAACTTGATAAACCAAAGTGGTCAAGGGAAACTTAGTAAGAACAAGTCTAAGGCTCCAGGCTCGACGTATTTCACCACCAGACTGTTCTGACCATGAAGATTGCTGAATGCCAGAGTATGCTGACACAAGGGGAATCATTTCCATGGATAAGTCTCACCTGCTCATGTGACTTAGGTAGCACAGGTGAATTCTGTCAACGGACAGGACGAATCTTCAGTGAAAACTGCCAAGTCTTCTTCTACCCCAAAGACTTGGACACTCTTTGCAGATTATCATCTGGTTAATGCGCTGCAGGATTATAATATATTGCTTAGAAGTTAAAACACCATTCTGCTGATGTTTGGCTCTCCAGCGGTCCATCGTGGCCTCTGGTCAGCTGTTGCCTCATTTTATTTAGAAACATCTCAGTAGTATTTCCATTTTGGGGGCGTGTAATTTTAATTCAAAGAAACCATTTCTTAAAATGCTTGACATTTAAGAAAATCTGGCACTGTATTGCCACCACTGAAGCCAAGTACCACATGTGTAGAGAGTAGCATGGCTTAGCGTATTATGTGCGCCAAATTTTCCTTAAAATTAACATTTGTGCCATATGTTGGTACCCTAAACTCAATACTCCTTTGGCTGATGAAAATGCAAAAGGAAAACATTCTCAGACTAAGTCCTGTTCTCTTTCTTTGTATATCCTTTTACGTAGACACTAGCAGTGAATTCCTTTGGGCGTGAAAATGAGCACCTGCTCTGTAATTCTTGGTGAGAGGTCAAGCACCCAAAGGCTTGGAGGCAGGAAGACCTGGTGTTGGCAGGCAAGGGTGCCTGAAGGCAGCATATCTGCAAGGTAGTCCTATGTTCTCTGTTGATTATCCAGCTCCTCACGATGTCTTGGGCTCCAGCCTCCTCATTTCCCATCACAGTGTTCGAGAGGGCTGAGTAGACAGGAGGCAGCCAGAAATCTCTCATGGAATTTAGAGAGAGTGTAACACCAGAACTTTACAAAATGCCCAGGCAACCTAAGGTGACAAGTGACCTACATTCATACATCCCCCTTTGTGGGTCTTAGGTGTTGTGTCTTCTGGCCTTTGAGGCTCCATCCCCTCTGAGTTCCCTCCTCTGTTTCTACCTATCCCTGTCACATGTAGCCTCCATGATGCAAAGAAGAGGTAACAGTCTTAATGCCCGTGGGCCACGCATCTGCACCATTATGGGTTTGCAATATACTTTGTCTATATGATTTATCACTATGCTCCCTGATACCTTGTGTGGCTCAGGCAGAGTCTGCGGCTCTCCTTGACACAGAAGACACAGGCTTTGCTTATAAATATTGATCCTAAATCTGTACCAAAGGGTAGGATGAAAGGGTAAAGTCTTGTTACACCAAAAACACCAGAGATTTAAACTACAGTGGGAATTTGGGGCCCTTAAACATATGGCTTTATTCCACTGAGGTATTAAATAAGAATTGTTTGTACTTGATGCTTAGGTAGGCTTTTGCATCTGTACCATGAAGCATACACAGTATTTAAGGGGAATGTTTGAAAATCCTACCTCTAGTAGGACCTAAGAAAGTCTGGAAATCTACCTTCAGGAAAAGAAAAAGTTTATTACATAAATATTCAAACTATAAAAGTAGAGAGAATAATACAGTGAATCCCCATGTGAATCTCACACCAAGTTTCAATGACAACAAATCTTATTTCATCTAAACCCCACCTTCTCCCCTACCTCCTAAGTAGGATGATTTTTAAGTAGATCCACGACATCATATTATTTCATCTATAAATATATTTTAGGATGTATCCCTTAAACATAGGATTTTTTCTTAAAACACAGCCACAGTGCTATATGTAATATCTAAAACATCATTAGTTTCCTTAGTCATTAAATATCCAGTTAGTATTCAAATTTCCTAAGAAAATCCAACTTTTTTGCCTCAGAATGAAAACCATTATTGGAATTTTGTCTGCTTACTATTGAACTAGCTAATTTCCCACCTTCAGCTATCATAGAATTTAGAAGTTTGGAAGGAAAGATTTCTTTGGGAAATGATAATTAAAGAGGAGGAAAAACTATTTGGACTTCCTTCTTGGGGAGCCAGTGATTGTTAAGATTGAAAACATTGATACATACTATCCAGCCCCACTGTGGTTCTTTTGTGGGCACTGAGGCATGGAAAAGAAAACCAACTTCCTTGAATTCATATAGTTAATCACAAATTAATTGCTTTTGAAATTGAAGAAGTTCTATTTAAAGTATTGCCTTTTTAAATTACTATAGAAGGACCTATGTTTTCAGTGTTTTGTACGTGGGTTTAGGATCTGCGTGGCTGCTTTAATGTCTTAGAGCTATGTGATCTAGTTCAGTACTCACTAGCCGTGCATGATGTGGCTTTTGAGCACATGAAATATGGCTAATCCAAATGCAGACATGCTGTACGTGTAGAAGCACACTGGATTTAAAAAATTTAGTTAAAAAAAAAGTAAAGTACCTTACTAATAATAATTCTGTTGGTTACATGTCTCAATATTTTGATTTATTGGGTTAAATAAAATAGGTTATTCAAATTAATTTCATCTGGGTTTTTTATTCTTTTTTAAATATAGCTACTTGCAAATATAAAATTACATTTGTGACTTGCATTATATTATGTTTTTAGGGGACAACGTTGGTTTAGAGATTGTGTTGTCGATGCAGGGACTACATTAATTCATTATACAACCAAGCCAGGAGAGGGCTAGGGACAGTCATCTCTCTCACCCTCTCTTTCTGGTAAGCCCAGACACTAAAGCATCCTACAGTAAATCTTATCTTTTTGAAATATTTATAGAAAAATAGATTTTCCAACTTACCCTGTGGCTTGGTCGAATACAAGTAGGTGAGTTCTACAAATAGGAGAGTCTTACATCCACTGGTACAAGTATTTGAAACAAAGAACTGGGAACACACCACTGGGCCATCCAAACCCAGGTCTACTTTCTAAATAGCTCTCGGATCTTGATCTTTCTTCTCATGATGACCTCCCAGCTCTCTCCAGGGTCCACAGGAGCACCAAGCACCAACTCACCTGAGCTTCTGCCTTTGTCTCGTACTTGGCCTTCCGCATCACTCTTACTCCACTCAGCAAGCACATAGGACCATCATTCCCCTGCTTTAAGGCCTCCAGCTGTTTCCCATTGATTCCAGGATGAGGTTCAAAATCTGAACATGGCCCACAAGCCCAACAGTCTGACCCTGTCCATTTCTCCAGCTGCATTTTGCTCATGTTCCCCAAACTCTCTGCATTTTACTCACATTGGCGTTCTCTCAGTTCCTCATCCATGCTGTGCTCCCCCTCCCTCCAGAACCTCTGTACATGCCATTCCCATTGCCTAGGACACTCTTCTCCTCCCTCTGCCATCTTTGTCCATGGTTGGCATGTGTCTCATTCAGATCGCAGCTCGAGTGTTCTTTCCTCAGCACCTCCTGACCAGGGCAGATAAACCAATTTTGACACAGCGTATATCAGAGTAGTCATTTTACATTTATGTGTGTGATTATGCACTTAACATCTGACTCCCTTTGTAAACTGTTTGCTCTGTAAGGGCAGTGATCCTATTTACATTCACTGCTATATCCCAGCACAGTGCTTGGCACAAAATAGGCCCTCAATTTACATGAAGGAAAAAGGACAAAAGGCAAGGTGGTTGAACCAACAAGAATCCTGCCTCTTCTTCCTTTACTAGAAGGGAAGAGGATACATCCTTCATAACCATTCCTTCACAGCTCACTGACATAGTCCTGGACAGACCTCCTAAGTGCCCAAGTATATGGATTACCAAATTCTCTGGGTTCTGTTTTCATTGTCCATGCAGATTCCAGCTATTTCTCACCACCTGCACTGCCCCTACCCTGGCCCATACCACAACAGGCTTCTTCTAGGGACTTTGGCTTATTTTTTTGGTAAAGATTTATTTATTTATTTTTAGAGAGAGAGGGCCGGGGAAGGGGCAGAAGGAGAGAGAAAGAATCCCAAGCAGACTCCCCATTAAGCCCAGAACCCGACGTGGGGCTGGATCTCATGACCCTGAGATCATGACCTGAGCAGAAATCATGAGTCAGACTCTTAACCTACTGAGCCACCCAGGCGCCCCCAGAAACTTTGGCTTTTACTCTAAAATCAGTGGAAAATCACTTCCTAATAGCGTCCTAGATCTTCTCCTCATTTCCAAACTTTGGATCCCTTTAGCTTACTCTCAACACAATAGTCAAATTGATTCTATTAAAATGTAAGTCAGATCTTGTCACTCCCCTGCCTAAAATTTTCCCGCCATCTTTTATTTTAGAATAAAAGCCAAAGTAGGGATGCATGGGTGGCTCAGTCGGTTAAGCATCTGCCTGCAGCTCAGGTCATGATCCCAGGGTCCTGGGATGGAACCCTGCATTAGGCTCCCTGCTCAGCGGGGAGCCTGCTTCTCCCTCTCCCTCTCTCTCTCCCTCTGGGTGCTCTCTCTCTCTCTCTCTCTCAAATAAATAAATAAATCTTAAAAAAAAACAAAAGAAAAAAGAAAAGCCAAAGTCCACCCAGTGGCATCCAAGGCTATCCATGATACACTTACCGCCCCCCGCCCCGAGAGCATACCCTACCACACCCTCCATTGCTTACTCCACCCCAACCCCACTGGCCTTTGGTTGTTTCCCACACACAGAAAGCAGTCTCCCACTTGCAGATCTTGGCACTTGCTTCTCTTTCTACCTGGAGAGCTCTTCCTCAGATATCTACATGGTTCTCTCTTTTGCTTCCTTCAAGTTTTTGTGCAGTACAACCTTTTCATTGAGGCCACCCTAACCCTGCCCCCCTCAGCACTCGTACTCCCTATTCACTCTCTTTTCCTGCTTTGTAATGCTCCATACCTTTTAATATGTAACGTATTTATTTTATTTAGTGTCTGTTTCCGTCCACTAGAATGCAGGCTCCATAAGCACAGAGATGTTTGTCTTTTGTTTCCTGATATATCCCCAGTGCCTAAAACAGTATCTGCTGGAATCGGTTAATAGACATTTGTTGAATGAAAAACCAAGACTCAGCCCATGCTGAGAAATAGGCAGGCTTGAAATCAGCCATCTAGTCTGAACGTTCAGAAGTGGCCTTTGTTGTCAGCAGGCTGACTTGGCTCTACCTTGGAGCTGGTTCAGGAATCTTAGAGGTTCCCTAAGCCTGGATCATCTGTCCAGTTTCCCAGTGTCATTCTGGTAACTGTCTATGAGGCCCAAGGAAATGGTTTGGTTCCAGAGAGCATCTAAATGTCTCCTCCCAACATCCTCTCCTCCTCCCCCTCCTTCATCGCACATAAATACACCACATAACCCCCTCACTTTCCAAGGACACAACTCAGGCTATTTCCAAAACTGAGATTCTGATCCAAAACAGTAGCACAGTGCACCTCCATGTGCACAGGAAGAGACAGAAGACCTCTGAGCAATTTCCTGGCCCTACATTTTTCCATTCCAGTAAATGAGGCCTTCTTTAGCTCAGGAATCTCTCTCTGAAACAAGCCAATGCCTTAATGCTGCCTGCCATTTGTCACTGCCCGGGCTTGTTTCTTTGTTCTCTTATTTTCTATTTTAAGTGATCAGTGCCTGGGTCCCTTATGTCAAAAAATTTTTGACTTCTAGCTCTACCAGGTGTTGACCACTAGTTAAGGCACATATAATGCTAATGGAGAGTTCCCTTCCTAAATAGCCATTTTATTTAATAATACATAATACTTCAGTTGCACTCTCTGTCTTCAAAGAGTTTTGCAAACTATATACTCATTAGGCTGAGCAGCACTTGAGTTTCTGCTCTATGGCTCAGAAACCAGCAAGGTTAAATAATTTGCTTAGATTCTAGCTAGCTGTGCTTCAGGTAAAGCACTTTGCTTTTTTAATGGATAAGGAAATATAACCAATAAAAATGTTATTCTTTAGCAAATGACTTAATAAATTAGTTTTCAGTTCTTTCCGTGTGCTTTTTAAAGCCATGTTTGTAACTTGCTGCCTTACTGTCCTGGCTTCTCTTTGCCTCCAGCTACCATTTCATGGTCCTCTTCTCCCTTCTCCCCATCCCTCCTCTTCCTCCTTTTTTATTTATTTTTTTAAGATTTTATTTATTTGTGAGAGAGAGAATGAGAGACAAGAGAACATGAGAGGGAGGAGGGTCAGAGGGAGGAGACTCCCTGCTGAGCAGGGAGCCTGATGTGGGACTCGATCCCGGGACTCCAGGATCATGACCTGAGCCGAAGGCAGTCGCTTAACCAACTGAGCCACCCAGGCGCCCCTCTTCCTCCTTTTTTAAAAAATACTTTATTTATTTATTTATTTGAGAGAGAGAGTGTAGGAGCAGGGGGGAGAGCAGAGGGGAGGGAGAGGGAGAGGCAGGCTCCCTGTGAAGCATCACAAATGCGGGCTCTTTCCCAGGACCCCGGGATCATGACCTGAGCCGAAGGCAGACGCTTAACAACTGAGCCACCCAGGCTCCCCCGTCCTCTTCCTCCTTTTCTCACCTTTATCCTCTCCTGGTTTCTAGGGGTACTCTAGCTGCCAAGGGAAACCTCCCATATCCCCAGCCTAAAAGTAATCCTTATCCCTGCCCCTCTGGGGTCCATTTTCAGGTGATAAGCATATTGTTATTCATGGATGGGGAAGGCTTGAGGTCAGGTTCCTAGGGAGTGGTGAAAATCAAGAATAAGTATATTTTTCTGGCCTATCGATTTTATGTAGTGGTGAGTGATTTAAAACATTTTACATGCAAACAAATGTGGATATATTATGGAGCAGAATGCAAACCTATACGCACGCACCCAGGACTGGTTAAAGTCTGAAATTGCACCTGTGGTAGACCACTTGGGATTTTTTTTCTCTCCCATTAGGGGTACTTGGATTAGAAAAGTCTGAGAAGAACTAACATAGCATAGCCTTTCGTCTGGGCTCCAGGAGATGAAATATTGGGATTGATTTTCTAAGGGCTGGTAGAATCAGTCTTGTTATTTTGTTTCTTTGAGCAAGATGTTTTTTTTTTCTAGAGATTGTCTTGAAAGTAATAGAGGGAAACTGGGACATCCTTTCCCCTGGACTTTGAACATCCACCAGGCAGCAGCCTTGCCATACTAAGGGCAGAGTGGCCCTTTTCTCATTATATAGCAAATAAAAGCAATAAGCAAAGAAACCTGTTTTACTTGAAACTATGATTAAAAACAAAAATCTGGCATGTGTTCAAAGATGAAACTTCTATTACATAATGATTTCATGCCAAGTGTGGTAAAGACCTTTACAGAGAGTAGAAATTGGTACAATAAAGTAAAGGCTGAGTCACATTAACTTTGATTTGACTCTAACCTGTTCATACCCAGGTGCATGTGCACACTTCCTTCTTAAGCCCCAGGGACACTTTATTTGGAGAGAAGGTACAGCACCACGTATGTGACAATGTGCTTATAGAACGCACCTGCTGTAGGAGAGTAGAGAGCCCAGGAGACCAAGTCACAAAACTCAGCTTGGAGTTCCAACTCTACCACCTACTGACTTTCCTAAGCATCCATTTTCTCAGCTATAATAACACTTTACCGACCAAATGTTTCTAGCTCTCCTTCTGCACATATAGTTGGATTGCATTTCTCTCTTCCCTTTATATGTAGGCATGGCCTTGAGACTTGCTTTGGCCAACAAAATGTGAGCATATGTGACACGTGTCATTTCCTTGTGGAATCTTTGAGAAGTAGTTCATGATTTTGCATAATTTTCTATCCCCCTGCCATAGCAACCTGAAACATTTCCAGTAATAGCTATTCTGTCAGCCTCAGGTCTAAAGTTAAGATGACCTGGAACAAAGCTACAGTTGAACCATGTAATGGAAATAAGATATAAATCCTTGTTTTCTTTCTTTTTTCCTTTTTCTTTTTTTTTAAGCAATGGCAATTTGAAGGTTGTTTGTTATTAAAGCATAGGCTAGTATACCCTGACTAATATACTCCTTCATGGATCTGGAGAAAGATTAGAATGTGATACATGATAGGTAGTCTGCTTGGCACATAGCTGGTGCTAAGTAAATGCTAGCTCTTTTGACCTTCACCAAATTTCTCTGCCTTGTGATCCTTCTCAGCCCTTCCTGATCAGTCCTAAGCTGTGCTACTCTGTAGAGAGTGATTTTTAATTAAGAAAGAATGAAAATGAACTTTAAGACTTCTTAATTCCCTAATATGCTCTCAAAAGTGAGAGAGCCTGAGTGGATTAGAGTGGGGAATTCCCAGGATGGGAAGAGAACCTCCTATCTGAAATTTATAAAAGAGAAAGGAGCTAGGGGTCTTATCAAAGAAATCAGTGAGAAAATAAAAGCAATGAACTCTGAAAATATCCAACCACAGATATCCGCCACCCTGCCGCTTCATGCTACGATTCTGGAGCTGGAATCAGGGCACAGACATCTCCTGGGATTCCAGTTTTGACTCCTCTTTACTAGGTTATCTGTCCTGGAGTGAAGTAGAGTCCTTGATTTACACAGTACCAGCTTTCCTGACATGTCAGCGAGAATGATGAAACTGGTCAGACCTCAAGCTTTTAGCGTTTTCCTCCTTGGTTTCTTAAGGGGCCTCTCCCTTCCTCCACCCGATCCAGACTGTAGCTTCATGGGTCTGAGAGGGAAAGCCAGCCAGGGCCACTGCTGCCGCCTGGGCCAAAACCAGATCACTTAGAGTTAATCACGTCACAATCCATTCACTGAGGCCATCGACCTAATACCTTTTTAGGGTATTTAAATCCACTTTAAAAGAAAAAAGTTTCTACGTAAGATTACTCTAGAAAGCCATGTCTTTGAGCTTTACTAAAAGAGTAAATCATCCCTGATCAAGTTAGAAGGCATTCATAAGGGCTGTGGGCCTCCAAATTGTTGAACATTTTGAAAAGAGGGGAAGGAAAGAGGATTGGAATATAGATGAGACAGAGCTATATAAGGCCTCCAGAAATTAGAATTAGAGGCAAGCTGGACAACTCTCTTTCAGAACCTCCAGTGGGAGAAGAGAGATACAGAAAATGGGAAGGGTGGCAAGGAGAACAAAGATTTGTATTAAGCATCTACGGAGGGACAGGTACTGTGCCAGCATGGAGGGATGGTAGCAAGAAGACAGTCATGGCCCTGACTTTCTCAAAGGGAATAGACATCATTGCTATTTTGCATGGGTTCATTGCAGAACTTTACCATCCCGGCCCATCCCAACCACTAGATGCCAAAGGTGCCCCCTACTCATTCTGATAACCAAAAGGTATCCTCCCTGTTTTCAAATGTCTCAGTGTGGGGACCTGACTGCCTCCAGCTGAGAACTACTGAACTTGAGTAATGGTAGTTGCTGAAGGTGACAGAACCAAGCACTCAAAGGTACATAAGGGACCCCAGTGAGGGTAGAAGGAGTGAGAGGGAAGTCCACCCTGAGACGCCCTTCCTCTCCCTGAGATGGCACTTGCTATCTACATATTTCCCCAAGGAAGACAAAAGATGATAGAAGAAAGGGAAACACACTTACTGAGCACCCAATATGACCAGGTAAAGTACTAAGAATGTTCAGGTGTATTCTATCACAGAGAGGCTGAGCTATATATGACAAGGAGCATAAACTTGGAAGTCAGGAAGCCCAGGGCTTGAATTCTAGGTCTTCTGCTTATCATCTGTGACAAGGTACTTAATCGCTGAGTCCCAGTTTCCTCAGTTGGAAAATGGCGATTAAAAAAAATAATTAACCCACCTCACAGGGTTATTAGGAAATTTCACAAAATAAGAAATATAAACCACTTGATACTAAAAAAGGCACTCAATAAATAGTAGCTACCCTTTACTAGTATTTGGGCTTCCTAACAATGCTGGTAAGAAGATATTCTCATAGCTGTAAAGAGGAAGGAAGAAGACCTAAGACAAGATGAGGGCTGGGAGCTAGAAAAATAATTAGGCAAATAAATAATTCTCATTTCAAGTTCCTTGATTTTTACTCCAGGCTCCTTCATGGACCTTCTGAGAGAGAATCCCAGCAGTTGCTTTGGCCCTAAAAATGGGCCTCCAGGAGCCCAGTTATTGGTCATTGACCAGACCACTGGGATGGGGAAAGGGGACATTCTGGGTCAAACACGAGTGATGGAGACAAGCTAGAGTTTGCAGAGATGTACAACCTACTGCTGGGGAGTCCTAGAGCCACACCTTATTGAGGTGGCTGAAGGGACTTATGGGGTTATGAAGAAGGTGTGTTGGAGGCCTGGGGCTTGATAACCTAGGTTTACATACTTCAAAGAGCTGATACTTGAAAGACTGGATTATTTTGTGAGGTCCCAGTGGGCAGAAACAGGGCCAATGGATGGAGGTGGCAGGGAAGCATTCATCTCCATTTAGTGCAACCGTTAAATTTGCTGGCAACTTCTGAAAGGCTCCAACTGGATTTTATTCACTTTAGCGTCCATGGCATCAGCCCAGATCCTCACCCACATGGACAGCAACGGAGTGGTAGCTGCTAGGATTATTACTGGCTGGTCTTAAAAAAAAAAAGCAACCAGTATGAGAAGCTGGTAGTCTCTTCAGTGGCCCATCTGCCTGAGACTTACGTTAAAAAACACTATGTCAGGGACGCCTGGGTGGCTCAGTCAGTTAAGCGTCCAACTCTTGATTTCGGCTCAGGTTGTGATCTCAGGGTTGTGAGATTGAGCCCTGCTTTGGACTCCATGCTGGGCCTGGAGCCTGCCTAAGATTCTCTCTCTCCCTCTGCCTCTCCCCACCCCCTCTAAAAAAATAAAGAAAGAAAGAAAGAAAAGAAATCTATGTCAGCCAGCACTGAAACTCAGGGCAGCCCATCTTTTAAAATCTAGCAACAGGTGCTTTACCCCTACCTTCAGCATTTCACTTTGCAAAAATAAAACCCTCTTTCTGTTAGGCTCAAAGATTATTTATGTAATAAAGCCAAATAACTATCCATGGGATAATCTGGAAGTGAAATTTTAAGCTAGATAAACATTGAGCCTGCTATGAAAGTTCATTCTAACTTCCTTTGACCCTCTTATAACTGTGGTCCTCAGCATTTTGGTTTGTGGTAAGAAAGCATTGCTTCTCTCCTATCTAGAAGGTCTACTGGTCATGTTTCCTCTTACAGTTTTTAAAGAGGAAAATAGCCTGTACTTCGGTTCTAAGCCCAGCTCATTCTGCCTGATCCCTTCCACACGTGTCTTGATGCGTCTGCACATAAGTTGAGAGACTTGTAAAGTCTGAGGGACCAGGCTAGATAAGTCATCATCATCTCGCTAGCTTGAGCTCACTGAAGCAAAAACTCCTCAACAGAGCACCTGCAGCTGTCCTGGGATGAAGGAAATGTAGATGAATCACATATCTAGAACTGTCCTCTCTTCCGATTTCACATTTTCAGTTACTCATTGTTCATTCCAAGAATGTCTATCAAGTCCCGACTGTGTGTCAAAAAACAGTGGCAAGTGGTGCCTAACACAACCATAATATTTGCTGAGTGTTTGCTATGTGTCAAGAATGTGTGAAAGACATCACATGAGTTAACTCATGTGACTGTCCCAGCATTGTGTGAGGTAGGTACTATTCTTTTCCCCATCTTACCAATGAGGAAACTAGGACATGAATAAGTTAAACAAATTGTCCAAGGTCACACAGATAAAAAGGAAAGGAACCAGGACTTTTTTTTTTTTTTTTTGAAGACAGTTGTTAGATGAAGAAATTAAATAGTAATGACGCCTACTTCCAGACACTTTCTAGGCTTCTATCAAATATACAAACTGATTCTAGGTAGCAGTTTAAGAATGGAAAACTCATTGCCACCAAAGACCTAGGTTATTCCAAGTACCTCCCAGTTTTGGTCTCCTGCAGTGATTCCCAGGCTTCTCAGCATGAGGACTCCCATTGCAAATTATAAAAATAAACCCATTTTCCAAATCCCCATTGCATTAGAAAAAATATGAAATAACCCAACACTCTTTGAGTTCAGTAACCTCTTCAAATTAACTTCTCTTTTATTAATTACCCTAATATAATTAGATTTGAAAAGCAGAGGTACATGTACATTCACAACATTGTTTAGTCTGCATGCAAACTATTAAGCACTTGATATCGAAATACAGATTCCTTGCCTCCTTAAACTGAGTCCCCAGACCCCCAGAGATCCACAGAGCTGTATCACTTCAGCCACTTATTTCTCTTCCCTGAGCCTCAATTTTCTCATTGCTAAAGTAGGTATAATAAGAGCTTTTCCATAGGATCTCAGAGAGAATTAGTGTGAGACCAGCAGGAATTGGAGGGCTCTTGTTCTTGAGGGGACAAAAATGCTTAAAAACACAGTGCCTAACAAATATAGTTCCGATGTAGTTAGGCAGAACAGAAACACATGAGAGATTTAGTGAGCTGGGCAACCCACTAAAGTAAACTATGCCTTCTGGAACCTAGTTCTAGAATGTGACGTGATAATGTATAAGGCAGGGAGTGCATGCAAAAGGGGTTCCCTATCACCTTACAAACGGGAAATTTAAATCACTTGAAAGCTATCAATTTGTTGTTGTTGGGGTCGGGCTGCTATCTGTGGCTGAGACACTTGAAGTTACAGGGACCCCAGGTTGTCCGGGTTTAGATACCTCCCTTGCTGTGTGGCGCTGAGACTGAAGTTGGGGACGATGAGCCTGTTCACATCGTGGTGATGGAAGAGGTTTGGTTTGATTTGCTTGGAAAGCTGCAACTCACATTTATTGAGTAGCTACCATGGTGAGGAGATTATACAATGGCCCTGATATTAATATTTGATGATATTTTGATCCAAATGTAAGGTACTTTTATCATGCATATTGAAACTTGCTCTTTAACTTAACAGGCTTGACCCCCAGCCTGATGTCACAGTCTCATGATTTTGCAGCTTGCATTCATCACATGTTCAGGATTTAATCAACTCCAGGGATGAAATCTTAGAAGTTCCCTCAGTGATATTGGCTTGGGGGTAGCAGAAGTGACTCCAGTATCTCCATTTGGGTCCTGGGATTAAGAAAACAAGCCATTCCGTCACCCCCAAACTCCCAGTTCATGACATTAGTGAGTACACAGCTTGATAACCTAGCTGCCTCTCTTCCCTCCACTTCCAGGAAAGTGGGTCCCATTAGCAGTGGAGTTCAGATTAATAATTACAAGGGCTAACATTTATTGAATATTACTATGAGGCAGGCACTGTACTAAGCAATTACATGCATTATCACTCGTAATCCCCACAGTAAACCTTAAGAAGAGGGGTGCTGTTTTATACCTATCATGCAGATGAAGAAATGAGAACTACCCATGTGTTTATTATCACACTGCTGGCAAGCAGGAGGGCTGGGACTTGATTTCAACCAGCTGCCCCTAGGACAAATGAGTTGTGAGCACTCCTCTGTATTGTCTTGTCACTCCTTCCCCACATATCTGCTTGCTGGGGTGCCTTGTCACCCTGGTTGACAACCATATTTTACATGTTGCCGAGACAATGGGGACCTGATACACTGAGATGCACCTGAGTGAGAAAGAACAAAGCCTTGGGTTATGGCTTTCTGTGTGGTAGTCCGTGACGGGCTGGCAAGGGAAAGACAACGGGAAGGTAGACAGATGTGAGATGATCATCCTTAAAGAAATTCTCAGAGAACGGAACTTGAAGTCAGAGGCATCCTTAGAGAGCAAGTGGTCCAACGCCTTCATTTTACAGATGAGGAAAAGAGGCTCAGACAGTTGCCCACAGTCATGGAGCTGGTGTGGGACTCAAAACGCCTCTTTCTTTCTCCCTCTCTCCTCTCATCTGTTTTGATTGAGTACAAAAGGATATTCAGTGAAAATGTTTCCTTTATGCCCCTTCCCCTACCCCAGCCACCCCACTCGCCTGCCCAAAGGCAAATTCTTTTCTTTTTTTAATTTAAATTTATTTATTTAAATTTAATTAAGATATACTGTATTATTAGTTTCAGAGGTAGAGGTCAGTGACTGATCAGTTGCCTATAACACCCAGTGCTCATTCCTTCATGTCCATCACCCAGTTACCACATCCCCCTACCCCCCTCCCCTCGTCCCCTCCAGCAACCCTCAGTTTGTTTCCTAGAGTTAAGAGTTTCTTATGGTTTGCCTCCCTCTCTGTTTTCCTCTTATTTTATTTTTCCTTCCCTTCCCCTATGTTCATCTCTTTTGTTCCCAAAGGCAAATTCTATTAGCAGGCGTCTTGTATCCTTTTAGAGATACTCTCTGCATACCAAAAAATATACTTTTGTTTGTTTTGTTTTTTACACAAAAGTGGTAGCATTGTATACACTGGAAGAATCTTGCTTTTATTCCCTTAAACCATACAGGTTGGAGGTTGCTCCATCATTACAACGTATAGAACTTCCTCACTTTTTTTCTTACACAAATTTGACAGCTTTATTGAGATATAATTTATATAATATAAAATTCATACATTTCTAAGTGTCAATATGATGTGTTTTAGAAAATTTATATAGTTGTATAATCATCACCAAAACCCACTTTTGGAATTATTTCATTACTCCCAGAAAGTTCCATTATGCTCATTTGCAGTCACTTCCAGCTTCTACTTCTAACCCCAGGCAGCCACCCAGCTACTTTTCCTCTCTCTAGATTTTTTGATTTTCAAAATTTCAAATAAATGAAATCATTCAATATTTGTTATACCTCTGGCTTCTTAAATACTATTGTGTCTGGCTTCTTTTCCTTAGCAAGATGTTTTTAAGATTTACCACATTATTGCATAGAACAGTAGTCCCTTTTCATGCCTGGGTGGTAC